TTATAAATTGCATTCTGGTACTTTGAGAGAGTCCACTTTATAAATTACTGACACTTCTCATGGCATTGTGCCAACTGGGATAGCCTCAGTAGGAAGCCACAGATAGAGGGTGAAATGTGAGAAACATTGCATTGTAAACATCCCATTTCAGTATAAAAGTAGTCATAAATGATAAGACTCATTGTTTTTAAATAAGATGTACGTGACAAAGTCTGCAGTAAAACCAGTTTTGAACAACTGAGTCACATCCAAGTGAAAAAAACAAATGAACAACAGCACAAAAATGCAATTTGCAGCACAATCACCAAGTGTCTTGGTTTGCTCCATAAAAGCATAAATAGGTGGTTGCATTAACTGAACCTCTGCAACGTGTTCAGGAATAATAGTTTTAAAACAACTGATGCTGCAAAGTAAAACGTAACAAACAACACATCGCTGTGAGAAGGAAATGTGTATCAGATGGTTTGTCCTACTGTTTTTTCTGCACTTTCAGTAACTAAAAATGACACAAGGTAGAAAAATTGAAGCCTCACTGAAATCATTGACAAGATTTCCATAGAATTCAACAGCATCATGATTTTATCCTAAGAGATTGTTTAGTTATTCAGTTTCTACACAGGTGGCAGAAAACTTCATATTTTTACTGAGGTTCCTTCAGTGAGCATTAATAGGGTTCTGAGCATGGCAACACCACTTGTCATCCACCAGCCTCAAAATATTCCTGAGAAACTTCTCAGAAGATAAGAGAAAGACATAGGCAGGCTAAAAACTAGTATTTCCATTCAACTTGTTGGAATGGAGGCACAAAGACATTCCAAGATTTGCACAAAGTCAGACAGTCAGTTGGGATTACCAGCCAGGTGACCTGATCCCCAGGCCTGTGTTCTATCAGCTGTTGGACAATCTGAAAGACTAGGCTGATTTTAACACAGATTTGGACTCTTCAGGGCTTTTTTTGCACCCAAGCACCAAAAGAGATGCATGAGTATTCACCGGTACTTGCTAGGTACTACCTGCTACTCTCAAGTAGGACTTCGTTCCAGTTCATGTGCTTAACAAGCTTTTGCCAGAGTAATTTTCAAATGGTCATTGCAGACTTAAATAAAACCATGAAACGTTTCCAGTGTTAATGTGTAATCCAATTATAACGTGAATAGGAAAGTGTTTTTTTTTTCTCGAAAATGTAAGCATAATTTTCCTGAATGGCATCCTCTTCCTAAAGCCATCTAGCAAACCAGAGTACTGGTTCCATTAAACAGTTTCAAGAAAGCCAGTTAATTCAAGTCTTCTCATCAGTGAAGGTATAGATAAACATACCCTTACTGAAAAAGGGGAATCTATAATTTCTAGGCAGTTAAATAAAATACAACATACAAAATAAGTTTTAATGCATTTTCATCCAATATACAGGCATTTGTGAGTATCAGCTACTGAGCTATAGTTCATAGCAAAATACCAAAGCATTGAGAGAGTTGTGCAAATTCTTTTCTTAGCTCCTTGGTGAGCAACAAAAAGAACTGAAAAGTGTCTACATAATTAATTTCAAACACTTGCAGAGCAGAACCCTGGAAGGTACTTTTCGTACACGAGGAGCAACAGAAACCTGTTTTCATTAAGTAGCACGTACAAGAGAAGCTTGCATCTACAGTTAAATTAATTCTATTGCAAGACTTATGTGTATAAAACTATTTTATTCTAGTAATTGAAATGAGGCCTTCTGAGAAATCTGAGTTATCAGGCCATAATTCTAATAAAGGTGACTGCTGTGCTGTCCTTAATTGCCAAGCAAAGTTATTTACTCATGAGTACATGCTTCTCTAAAAGCAGGGAAGTCTGGAAAATGATGTTTTAGGAAAGCAATGGGGCAGATAGTTAAGATGCCACAGGATCAAACCCAAAATCTTTCCTCTGATACCTGCCACACGTTAGGAGAAACTTTCCCTGCCAGGAACACCAGGTAACCCTCTGTTCTGTCCTATTAAAATAAACAAACTATTCCAATAGGGGTCTAGGCTCATCATTCCTTCAGGGCAAGAACACTTTTCCCAGTCCTTGTTGCATCCTATGTGAAATCACTAATAAATTAAAAAATTAATAATAAAATTTGCAAAAATGTAAGATACAAGAACTGGGAGTGATTTTCCATACTAAGGACTGGATTGATTTCCTTCTATTTAATGGGTAGCTCTCGGGTAGGGGTAAGATTTTTATAGCAGAAAAGCAGGTCTAACACTCAATACTTTTAGGGACTCAGTGGTGTCTCTGCTTGTTTAAAATCCCTCCTTTGTTCATCATAAGGGAGCAAAACCTGAAAGTTTGAATTGATGGCATTGGTTCGCCATGACTGATAAAACTCAGTGGTGTCATTTGACTCCACAATAATGTTTTTTGATTGTGCAGCCATCAGATCTTATTACAGAGCCCTTTTCACTACAGCTCCTTCAGTTGTAGTACCTCATGAGGACAGCCAGCTGGGAACTCCAGCACTATTGTAAGGAACTTGAATAGCCAGAGATTTGCCCAGTAATTATTACAAAACTATTCTCACAGATTTCTTAGCATCAGAATTTGTAACAATAGCCTATGACATTACTATTTTATGTGCCATATATTATCCTACAAAAGGAGCAGAGTGATGTCTAGCTTCTAAAAAACAAACTCTATTATAGGCAACCGACACACTTCAGCTCACAAAATCACTTTCAACCTTTTGAAAAAAGGAAAAATAAGGCAGCACTACAAAGGGAATCTAACAGCCTGCCTCCGGGTTTGTGGACAGCTCTGCTCATTGATTTGCAACCAATGGTTTGGAAACTCCAGTTACTGAATGTTTACTGAGAAAAATTCTGATTATATTTTAGGCAAGCTTTTTTATCTGCTACCTTTTAATGTGTTAATTTACTCTACTGTAAAGCCAAAGGGCCAAATTCATCCCTCTGATAAGGCTTCCATTGTAGGAGCATCACTGAATGTGCACCAAAGGCATTATTCATCTGTGGAGAGATCACTGAGCAATATTGTCAAACACTTTTGAGTTGCACATCCTCAAAGAGCAGATAAAAGAATTGTGAAGAGAATGAGAAGGAACAGAACATCAGAGATGAAGAAAATTAGATAAAGGGCCAGGAAGAAACTGTTTGATGTAAACAGAGTGACAAGTTAGATTAAGAACTCTCATTAAAGCATGCAGTATTTGCCTATAAGCAATTCAGGCAAGGAATTTGTTTACAGCTCTGCCAAAATCAACAGCAGATGCAAAAAATCATCAATATTGGGATTTTAAATAATATTAAATCTACTGTATCCAGACACTCACTAGGACTATGTGAAGTAAATACACAGCTCAGGGCCATTATATTCTTTGTCACACTAAGTAAACAAGGTTATGCCCTGTTGCACATTGACATGCAGGGCCAGCAGAAATTATTAATAGGAGTGTGCCACTAACTACACCTTGGTTAGTTTAGTATGCATATATCTCTGAAAATACTTACTGGTATCAAGATTTTATTACTGGTGTGGAAGAAAATCTAACTTTGTGAGGACAGTGTAATTTCAGGTATGACTCTATGCTAAGACTTTACCATGTTAGGACAACAAAATTTAGAGATGTGCTGGAAAACTTGTGATATCACCTCACGTTGACATGCAGTAAAGATGTTCACCAGAAAATGCCCATCGGAAATAATATAGTTTTTAAATTAAAAGTACCTGCTTCCAGAGCAGATGGTAAATGTCAGGTGAATCAAAAGAACCCAGTACCTTGCTCAACAACAGTGAGGAATCAGGGTTTTGGCAAAGGCCACTAGGAACAAATCCTATTCTAACTAGACCAGATTTAATGAGAGCTCCTCATTCTTCAGTCCCAGGTTAACATCCCCCCCTAGTGACCTCAATTTATGGTGGGGAGTTTTTTCCTCAGCAGCTCGTTGGCTGATGGCCTCATACAATTCTAAGATGATGGGAATTTGAGTCACCACTTTCCTCCTGGCATGGTTACAGGTTAAAAAAAATACCTGGCTGGGAAGAACATGCAGTGAGAGTGAAGTTACACAATGTGCTGGCAGCAAAACTATCCCAAGAAGCTGAACTCGCTGCCTTTCCCCAGCCCCTCGTTCTCACCCTTGTGCAGGAGTTCACTGCACATGAGCTTCCTTTCATGCCAATTCCCAGTGGGGTCATGATGTGAGTCAGACCATTGTTACAATCTGTGTTAAAAATAACCCTTCCTAAACCAACTCCACTACAAAAGCCAGCAGATTGTGTATTTGCACCATAAGACACTCAGTTCCTTTGACACAGTGCTGTGCACAGAGGGAAGCAGAAAACTATGTCAGGTGCCACTTTCTCAGGCTTTAAAGAAAGCGTATGACTGGCAAGGCACAGAATTAAAGCCATGCAGATTCAACCGTTCCCGTGCTGCAGAGTTCTTGAAATCCATATCACACCTAAATGCCAGCAGTGGGAATTCTTGACTGGTTCTGCAGTAGTCTAAACAAAAAATTCTGGTTGTCATTTGAGCTAGTTTTTAAAGACTGATATGAGGTAAGCAAAGGCCTAAGGGTCTTCACTGTTAAATTTAAAGTGAGATGACAGATAGGGATGTGAAATGGTGGGAAACCACCAGCTACAGAGAAAAATATCCATGTGCAAAGCCTAAGGATCAGGCTGCAGCTCATGACTCAACACTTTGGTCATTCATTGAGGGAACTGACTGCTCATTTTTCTCTAATAAAAGCTGTCTTTTCATTTTACACCATTGCATGGAAAGGCTTCTTGCAAAAAGATTTGAAAAAAAAGGCAGAACTTCCTTCCTGTTAACTGAAGATAATATTTGACAGGCTGAGTCCATCGACAAAACACTGTTCAAAGCCAGCAGACTCAGACTCTTCTCCATAGATTGTTTAAAAGGTTATAAAAAATGCTGGCAATCACTTATTTTCATCTCTTCCATGAAATTTCCTTATCTATATACTGGGAAGGAGACCTGAAGGCAAAGGTGAAGAAGAGAGTATATTTTTTTTATTAGTTGAAATTATACAGTCTAAATGGCACAATCTTAAGGAGAGCTTTGTGGACTGTCCCTTATAGTCAAAAAGGACTGGCAATTATGAGACAGTGATTTGATCTCATTTTTGCATTACATAATCTTTGGTTGTGCAATGCAAGAGTCTATAAAGAGTAAAAAGGAGGACCTGAATCCACACGGTATAAAACGCTACAACTTCTTCACTCGACTCACATTTCAATACCCTTCTGATGAACTACATATAAATTCTATTACTTTGTGTACTATTATGGATAACATTGTACAGAACAATGGCAGAAAGACTTATTTTTAAAGGTGTTTTACAGCGTGCTTTCAGTTGCAGCTCTGGGCTTTTGAGATGTTCAGGAGAGAAGAAAATAGAATGTTTTTTTCTTTGCTTGTGTTTTGAAACGGTATTTTTTTATATATTCCAGATAAATCAGAAAAAAGGAACCAAAAATTCCACACTATTTTAAGGTATTCTGTGTCCTGCCAGTGTCTCATTTGTATGCAGTATACACTAGATTTGCCTAGAAGGATTTAGCTCAGTAGCTGGCACATTTACATCAGAGAACAACATACACAGTTTCAATCGATTTCAAGTATTCTTACAATGGGAAATAAATATGAAAAGTGGTTGTCGCTGAAAGTTCAAAAATGCAATCAACAAATTGTAAAAGCTCAAAAGGCCAGACAAATTTAATAAAATATTTCCATTTACCTTCCTCAGCTTTACACAGCCTGTTCAAAATAATAAGATTTGTTGCAGAGAGCCTTTATCCAACTGTTTATATCACTTCATACAAAATATGTGTTTGAATTACCAGAGAAATACAAGGATATAAATTCCCAGCACACGAAATGCCAAATTCAACATAAGTTATGCTTTCTTAGCATCTAGATGTTTCCCTTTCCCTTTTCTGTACTTCAAATACATTTTCATTTGAAACAAATTAAAAAGCATGTAGATGTTAAAACATAACAACAGCTTAGAATTCAAGTGACTTGTGCAACATTGTTTTGTGCTTTCTACTTCTCCATTTCCTCCTACTGCAATTAAAATTCATCATGCCCTACTACATGTACAATAGCAATGCATCAAGTTCAGTCCAGTATAGGTTTTCAACCTTCAGACTTGGCTTTATACTACACGAGATCCTTGCACAATCAAAAAAAAGTGCATCTTTTTTTCTGATCTTTCTTTAACGCTGGATGATGTGAAGCTCTGATTAGTCGATGTAGGAATGCAACCTTGAGGTATGGATTGCAGCCTCAGAATAATTCTTACATGTAAAAAGGAACTTTTCGAGCGTTCACGCCCTTTCTGGATTTAAAAAAGACACCACTGTGATGGTGTTACTAGAGCCACGGTACAGTACATCATGGCACATATCCATAACATAACCAGGGACATGAGATAGAACTTCTATTTACAAAACCTTGATGTCACTTCCAGAAAAATATGACAGGGAAAAAAAAAAAAAAAAGGAAAATATAATTTCCTGAATGTCCTGAATTTTTAAAAGATTCCTTTTACTTTCTCTTCAGCAATAGAGTAGTCCTCCACAACTGCATTTTCCCTGACCTTTTTATTATGGACCACAAGTGACACCAGCAGGAATTGGGAATCATATGGCAAACTGCTTCCTTTGAGAGGATGCTCACCCACGCCCCTTTACTCACAAGCCAGCTTGCTGTCAAAACTGGAAAGGGCAATTGCAAAGGCTTGAAGTGCACACATTGGGTAGTTGTAGTCCATGGTGAACACATCCTCAGCCACGCGGCCAAACTGCATCACTATATAGTCAGCTGCAAGAAAGGTCATAAAAGGTGACAGAGCATTATTTTTGTTTGCAGTCCTTACTAAATCAGTATCCATTCAACATCATCCTCTGGCCCAGTTCAACGATACACAAACAAAACGTGCTCACTCATGAAACTTCACAACACTTATTCATGCAAGTGGGTGTGCTGATAGCAGAGGGAGAAGCAAGGATAGCTTGAGTGATCGAGGGTTGCAAGATTTGTTACTATTAAAAGAAGGACACAGATAAAAAGTGTTTTTTGCAAGCACAGAGAGAGAAAATGACTTCTTTACAGAATGTTCAAACCTCTTTTACAGATCTAGTGCCAAATTTCACGTGCGCTAAGAACCGGTTAATTCTATTCTCACGTAACTTCAGGCAAGTGGACAAGCAAAAATAATGGGGGAAGAAAAGGTATAATTATTATCTAGACCTAATCATATCTCTCTGTTATAGCATGTTCAGAAATTCTTCCCAACTTTCTTCCCTTTTGTACTCTTTGACAGCAAGAGGAAATCTAAGCCTCATTCACAGTTGGAAATGTTTAATTGCAGAAGCAGGTGTACCTGTTTCCCCCTATAAAATGCAGCAAATGCATACATCAATGTTTCAAATTCAGTGTTGCTCTCAGAGACTAGCACAGCCACTTTCACCAGTTTCCCTGCAGTCTGCATGGCACTGGTCTAGCCTGGTGGGCTCCAGCACTAGTGACTGTGCCTGCCTAAAGTGGGCATGAAGTGGGGCAGTGCTGCTCCATTCGAGCACTTGCCTTTATCCCGGCTCCGACAACAGTACCTAAGCTTGAGAAAAAAAGGGAGCTGCACGCTGATGGCAGAAAGCAGCCCATCAGTAAGGGCCTGGGGACAGTGTGAAAGGCTGTTCTGACATTGGCAATGTTCTGCAGGGCTAACGCCACAAAGACTAGTAATGGCAAGGTGGATGTGCAGTGGGACTGGTCTGACTGCCACCTCCAGCTGGGCAGTGTGTGGGGAGCAGAGCAAACAAAAAAAACCAAGGAAGGATTATGTGATACACGTGCTTGAGCAGAGTGACCCGGCCCCACGGTCCTGCTGACTGCAGGACTGCGAGGCAGCTGGTCTGAGAGTAGAAATGACTTTAAACTGTTGCTCAGTTCATAAGCTGGGCAACCACAGCAGAAAACTCAGACAGCACATAGCTATCCCCTGTTGCAAGCATGAGCATTTAAACACCTAACTTGTATCAATGCCACGGCCATATGGCAGAGCAGCATTAAGCTGGACCCACAGAATTCAATTAAACCTGCTCAGATAACAACTGTAAGAGCAGAATCACTCCCAGGCTGTGCATGCAGTACTCTTCCTATACATCACTGAGAGCTGTACTTACGATCATTGTCATGAATAATTTGGAAGTTTTTCACCGAGGCCAGTGTGACTCGACCATGGAAATTTAAAACATAGGACTGGGTGTCATCATTCCAGACTGGCGTTTTGTTATGCAGCTCAATGACACTCTCTGTGTTTTTGTTCTGCCATCTTGCAAGAAGCGTCTCATGTTCCTGCACACATCACAGATACACACTTTGCTTTAACATAATCACATGGCAAAAAATACATTAGAAAAGAAGATAAGAATTCATAAATCCTAGCCCAAAAACTGAATTGTTACCCTCAATCCTTAAAACAGCTTCAATGAACAAAACAGAGAACTCTGAGGATCTTCATGTGAATGTCCTTTCCACCATTTGGAAAATGTTAGTTGTAACTTTTGTTACCAAAATACATTATTTGTAGTGCTTTTGTGAGTCACAGGACTAGTCACACATCCTATTGTTATGCAGTTGTTCAAACACCACTTTATTTACCTCTAGACCTTCAGAAATGCAATTATAAAACCCCGACTCTAACTGAAAGACAATTCAAGTTATTTTTTTAGTGTTGGCTGACGGTGTGACTTACATTTCGTGGCCTGATGGAAACTCTTTCGTGGTCCATATTCATTCCTGGTATGATCACACTCATTTTACGAGGTCCTTTAAACCCCAAGACATTTGTTTCCTAAAAATGTTTAGAAAAGATTTCATCATGTTCTTTATTTTTAAAGTTAATTTCTTCAACAGAGAGACACAGCGGCAGCCATGGGAACTTATTTGTTAGTCAACTAGAAAAACATCTTGAAACTCCCACCTTCACTGGCACTGCCAAACATTCTAGCTTTGTCTTAGAAGCTCCAACAACAGGAAAAATGGAAATAGAGAGGTTTCCAAAAACATTCCTAGCATTGGCTGCCAGCACCTTAATATAATTTAAAAACAAAAATCCCTTTGTTAAAAAAGGATATGAATTAACCAGATTGCTTGGCTACTGCTAGATCCCAAAATAAAGTAGTTGCAATTTAAAAATCATAAAATGCAGTCATACATTTTGATGCGAGACAAAATTAAAGATATGGGACCAGCTCCATTTATTCCACAGCCAGCACAAAAGCAAACAAGAAGAAGCTGCCAGTAAGAGCATCTGTTAGCAGTGCTGTGGTTTTCAAAGTCTTCAGATATGTTATGCTTAGAGATGAACATGGTAAAAAACAAACACATTAGCATGAAGGCAAATTTTCTAGCTATGAAGACAGGGAAAGTAAAGAAATCACAGGGGCAGCAAAAGTAAATCCATGGAAAATACAAGTTCTTGCATTAAACATGATCTGATGCTTTTGACCACATTTTTACAAAAGCTCTCCAGTAAAAGCTCTCCAGCAGAGGACAGCTCTCACTGTCCTCTCAAAACACAACCATTAAAATCTAAACCAGCCTAAAGCCTTATTTTTATCTGACACTTCTTTTTTTCTCCCTCAGAAGCAATTAGGGCCAAATATTTCTCTAAGTCATCATATGCTTTTGAGAAAGTAAAGGGCAATATTTCCCAATCCACTCAGTAAAAGCTGATTTTAGCATTAACTCCAGTAAATGAAACAGTGAAACCTCTGGAAGTTCATATCCTCAAGTTTCATGATAATTTTTTTCTCCAGTCATATGGATTTTTTTTTTCCCCTCTATCATTCTGAAATGAAGGGCTGTGGACATACACTAAGGAATCTCAGGAAGGACATTCCCATTGGTGCTATTCCCAGCAACATAACACAAGATGCCAAGAACCAGACAGCCCTGGCCTCCAGCTGGTGGAGCTTTACCACTGGGACATTTAGAAATTACACATTCAGATGTCTCTGCTTTTATACTTTTAATCAAAGTGTCCTGATTTTAAGGAACACTAAGCTTTTTAAAACATTTCTACTCTTGCGAGTAAAAAATCCAAGTATCTCAACTCACCAGAAACATCTGAAAAATATGCCTAAAAATTACTTGTGCAGTTTTGTCACCCATCAGACCTTTGAAATAACTTTGTTTCAACAAACCATCTTGAGATTTTCCACAACTCTTTAAAGTTTTTCATGCGTGCAAGAAAAATTCCACTGAGTTATCTTACTGAATACTCCTGAAAGCAATCCAGGTATATTCATATTATCTTCCTAACTCTGTACATTAATGAGAAGATTCTGCCTCTTTTTTGAATCATTTATGTCACATCTTTGGCAGAGTAAAACATGTTATCAGTTCAGTTGGAAGCGTTATCCTTGGTTCTGCGTCACGGTGAGACGAAAACTAATATGACTGCCAGCAAGAGAGACTCAGCACAGCAGAGGACAAGTTCTAAGAAAAAAATTCATGCTTGTGCTTATTTTCCACTAACTACTGGCAATTTTAGCCTTCTCTGCAATGCCTTACAAGCTTTTCTTCTCATCAGGCAGCAGTTATGCTATACATAATTAATTTAGATGCTGACTGGTTGAAGACATTGTTCAAGGTAAAATTAAATAATAGTGCTGAATCACTTCCCTCCCAACAAGCAGTATTATCACTCTGAAAAAACAGTACCATACTCTTTGGATTTACTCAGAAACACTAAAATTGGAACTTCTGCCACATGATAAGAGAAAGGTCACTAGTTGCACATTACAACCATCACCAATTATCATACATTGTATTGCAAATGCTGCCCTTTTGATAAAATCATGGTACTCAACTGGAATTACATAAACATGGAATACATGAGGAAAACAGGACAAAAAGAAGAGCTTTAATTAAAAGCAAATCTTTCCAATACACCTGCATCCAAATAAAATTAATTCCCCCTACCTCCTGTCTCATTCCCTGCTCTTTTTATTTCCCTCCTCCATGATTTTGTGTGTGTAAATTCAAGACTACAAACGGCATTAGTGGGGGAACAGAGGCCAAATTCTGTTTTTACACCCTTTTTAATGCCACTGACAGTCTTAGTTTAAACAGGAACACAAGTGTTGTTAGCTAGCAGAGACCCATTGACTCAACCAGGACACCAATCATCGATACCAGCTAAGGACTTGGCCCAGTACTGCTCAGAAGTTGCACTCTCTGCCTTAGCCAATCCAGTCAGCTGTTCTGTGAGCATGTGTCACAATAAACTGGATTGAAAAAACACAGAGGCTCTCCACAGGATTGTTTTTAAAACCTTACACACTTCCAAGAAACTATGTAAGCATCTTGCTTTAGCGGCAATAGCTGCCACGATAAAAGCAGCAAGGTGAATATCCCAGCAGCTTCCAGGACATTCACAGTTTTGTTACCCCAATTTTCTTTCAGCCACTTCCCTTTCTGGACTTGTTTCACACATCTGTGCTTAATATCTTCTGTAGAAACTATCATTCCATAGAAAGCCCAAATCACAGAACCTACAACACTGGAGCACAATGCAAGTGATTGAGGCCTGAGTAGAGACACGAGGTCTTGTTGCTTTACTGAAACCTGAGTCACCCCTCAGAATGTCAGCTGAGCTCCCTGCCTGCAGAATCTGACACAAACTGAATTGTGAGATTCTATGGATATAAAAGAATCCAGCACAGAAAATCCTGGTACAAGTATTACAGTTACACCTCACTGCTCCTTGATAAATTTTGTCACGCAATTCTGCAACCAGCCATTAGGTGCTGCTGCAGGTTTATTAATATGCTGGGCTGCCAGCAGTGGGGGAGTAAAAATGGTTAACAGCACCTGAGAGAACTGTCCTTGCTCTCTGTTCCCGATCCTTGAAACATGCCCTAAGGTGAGCTCCACAAAGAGAGTCCTCGACACATTTATCCCACAGTTAACAGATGCATCACCAGTTTCTGTCTGTATAAACTAGACCTGCTGAGGTGATTAAGCAGGTCATGCTCAGTAAGTTGGTGGGAGTGGGTACAGCTTGCTCTCCACATGGGTACCTGATCAGATGAGCTGAGGGACATTGAGAGGCATAATGGTGCTTCTAAAGTATTGTTTTTTATAGTTTTTGCTGTAGGGGAAATCTCAAGGCAGGAATTAAAAGACTGCCTTAGGACAAGGGTGTTTCAATACTGCTCTTCCTGGCACTCTTTGCTGTGGTTCTGCTGCAGCCAGGGACAGTAATCTCACTTTAGCAAACCTGGCTAGTAATGAAATACCATTCCAATTTCCTTTAGTCCTCTGGCCACAGCACACCTGCAAGCCTGCTGCTTTTCTCTGTCATTATAAAAAGTAATTTTCTTATACAAATGTCCAAATTTCAAACTGCTGATTACAAATACACATATAAAAGCAGCTTATCTCAGCCACATTGTGCCAACAGTGGCCATGGTTCGGTTGTTTCCAACATTCACACTTCTAGTTACCTCTTCTGACCACAACAGCTTTTAATTTGGCAATGTTCATCATTCAAAAATTATCGTTGTTGACTTAAACAAGCAATGCCTAAATTTTTCAATATATAACCTTTTTCAATTCTTTTTTATTTTCTTCTTGTATTTTTAATTTCTACCAGATGATTAGTTGCCCAGCTCCAGGGAATGCCCTCCCATATAAACCAGTAAAATTACCTATATTAAACATCTAAGTTATAGGTTTCTACTGAAACTTCAGTCAAACTGACACCAAGTCCTGGAGTCTCTTGCTAGCTGGATTTTCTGAGGGTTTCAAATCTAACAGGAGTGGAGGCATATGTATCTGTTTCTCTGTCTGTCTCCAACTGTAAACTATGTGCCTGAGTGAACAAACACAGATTTATACTGTATCCACAGAAAAATTGCATCCTAAGCAGCAGGAAAAGAACACGCTGGCAGCTAATACTGTCCCACTTCAGTACTCTTGGAACTTTGCATGGAAAGGATGGCTCTCTGCTTTCCTGCTCATGTGCTGAAATCTTCCAGACACATTGCTCCCCACAACCCGAAGCTGACCTTTCTGGGAACACATTCTGTGCGTACACTGGGTATGTGCTGGACCTTGAACTGACAGATTTCCAAGCACCCTTGATTAAAGCTAGGCAGGAACTTTTCAGAAAAGCCATTCTTGGATATTTTTATCAGAAGTTGTTGATTTGTGAAACCAGACAACTTTCTGTAGCAGTGTACATACCAGCTTTGAATGGAAGGATTTCTTGGGCCCACATATTTCTGGACAGAAAGAATCATGTCAACAAAACTGTTACTTATCCAGCAATCAGGAAACAGCAGCAACTGTGTTTCAAGTCTTCATTGTCTGCATTGCTCCTGACAAGTGCTATTTACTGTCTTATAAGAGGCTGGTCTCTCTCATTCAGTACAAGTTTGGATTTTGCTTGGGGTTTGCTTAGGTTTTTTCCTGGCAAAAAGGAGTTTTAGAATTTTTATCCCAGTCTCTCAGCTGCTGCAGACATACCTGTCCAGCTACCTGTGATTTGGATGAGAGATGCCTCCTCCAAAACGCCATAATAAACAATCACACTAGAGCAGTAATGCCATGCACACAACTCCTTGCAGTTCAGGAGGCTCCCTCAGCTGGCACCTGCAGGAAGCATCCTACCCCCTCCAGGGGGTTATGTAAAAGCCCCAACACCTTCTGACCAAAGGTAAGAACTGGGCAATGTGTTGAGTGCACACTTTTTACCTCTGCTTTCCACTGAATTTCCTGGTTTCTCTAGTGGAGATCAGCTGCTCTGTTACATCCAACTATGAATGCTGATTTACATAATCCTAAGTGAGAAGGAAATTCAGAGTGCCGTTTCAGAAACTGAACTGCCCTTCCTGCACATTTTGCCTGTGAGCAGTACTTACATAACAAATAGCAGCTAGCTCCTGACGCAGGGTACTCGCCTCCAGGCTTGATGTTGTTTTCATTGGATTTACTCCATTGTCATAAACTGTAAACTTAGTTCCCATAAGATTTGATCTATCAAAAAAACGGAAAATCCAATCACCATTTGCCAGTAATGCTGCTTGAGACATCTATCCTTTACTGCACTGTAGCCCCAAAGGAAAGAGAAGTATTGAGTAGAGAGAGCTGTTATTTCTAATCCCAGGTAAATGGCAACTCTTGGATTAAAGGCCATAACAAAAACATAACAGTACAGTACAGCAGAGTATACTAAAAGTCCCTTATCGTTACACTGGAGGCTTCATCTTGCAAACTAGAAAATTCAAGAAAGCAGTAAGGAAACACTCAGTAGGGTTATTTTATTTGTTTGCTTGTGTTTTTAAAGTATGCTTAGTCTGTACAAAACTATCTGCTTTCTTACCTGACTACTAAACTCCACTAGAATATAGGGAGTGATTTTTATAAAGTCATAAATAATCTTTCCTATTTCAATGGAAAGGAGTGCAAAATACAATGTAGGACAGACAAAACCACATTATCCTCATTCTGTGTCTGCACTGCAATAAATAGCACGTGAAGTTCCAAGATCCACACAGGCAAATGGCAACGAGCAGCACAGGCCCTTTCCTCAGGCACAGATGATCTAAACATACATCGAGAGGCTCCAGGTACCAACAACAGACTGGTGTACAACAGGGCGACAGACAGAAAAGAAACATGTCCTTCTGAAATAATTCCACTACCTGCAAATAACTGATTTGGATCTTAAGGAACAGGCAAAACCAAAGAGATTCTCTGTGTAACAGACAGTACTTCCATTCCAAGGTATTTATATCAATAGAGGCTAGACACAATGTACTCATGCACTTCTGAAAATCCCATTAAGATAAGTTGTGCTTGTACACCCTTGAGAATCTGGCCTTTGAGCATTTAAGAAGCTTCAGTCCTGATGACTTTTAATAAAATGTGATCCTGTAAATACTTGAGAGATTTTGAAAACATTCCTTGGATACTGGTGATCTTTAAGACCATTATCACATGATGTATGTAGTCAAGCCTCTAATGAAGAAGTCATAGTGGCTTACAGGCTTCTTAACATCAAATGAACTTTGTATTATATAATAAAAATTCTTAGATTTATCACTGTTTACCTCAGTTTTCCAATAAAACTCTCTCCACCCCGAGACAGGTCAGTTGGGTCTATAGAGATGAGGTAATTAGAGGTTTTACTCTTCTTTCGTTTCCGTCCAGCTAACAGAAAGACCTAAGCAATGCAAAAAAACATATTCCAGAATGCTAAAGGGATTAGCACACACCACTTCCTGCCCTGATATATAATAAACCACAGGCAATTTTTCTGTCTTCCAGCATCATTAGCAAAGTAACAGAAGGTCTCCTGACAGAAAGTCTCCTGGGACCTAGCAAAACCAGGAAAAAAAAAAATGGAAAAGGAAAATTACTTCTATTATTTATGGTTTAAATAATTAAATTTGATCATTTTGTTAAATATTTCATTCTAAGTTGCTCTGGCTCTTCCAGTTGAATTGAAAGTAGATGCTTTTCAGGCCACAGAACGCAGAGAGCCCCAACTGCTGACAGTCACATAAAGGTGCCATGCATGGATTATTTAAGGCCAAAGATTAGACATATGAAGAAAGGCAGTGGAACAAAGTGATACTGTTGTTTTGCTTTTGGAAGACTGTAGGACAGAGCTCAGTGAAAGTGAAAATACATTTAAAATATACATTTTCTTTCTAATACTTCTTCAGATTTTTATCAGTTTTTTAAATTCAGATGCAACTGGTATGCCATTCAAGTTATTTTATGACCTTTTTACCATGCTCCCTTTCCAAGTGGAGGTAATAAGTAGGGTACATCCCTCGATCCATTCCCTTCTTGTCTCTTGTGATTCTGCACTTGACAGTGACACCCTGTGGAGCAGGTCTTATGGCAAATTCCTCCAGGTCATCAACGTCTATGAGAGGCTCATTTGTGGAAGGACTGGGGGCTGAGGCTGCTTCCTAAAACAATAAGCAAAATTCAAGTTTCTCAGCTTTGATTTACAAGGTTATAATTACAAAGGAATGGCATTTGATAGCAGTTGCAATTTAAAAAAAAATAAAAATAAGGGACATATTGTCTTCCCCGATCTGGTTCCTCAGCAGCCTTGAAGACAGCTTGTCAAGGTAAGGATCTCTTCCAATCCAATCAGTCAAGCTCTTGGCTACCAGAGGCCCGGGGAGCAGTTGCCTGTGCAGCTGATGCTCAGTGTACAGACACAGCTGGCAAAGCAGAATGGGGTGGCTGCACAGACAGAAAGCTGTGCAGTTACACAGCAAAACCTGGCTCACAGCTCCCCATCTCAGTGCACCCCTTTTTCCAGAAAGGCCACACTCTAGGACAGTGATGGCCTTTGATGAAAGGAAGAAATGGGATAGGGAGCAACAGTTTAAGCTAGATAGAGTTATAACAAAGATAAGAAATCAATGCAGTATATAGAAGAGTGGGGCACCATCAACTGGTTTAGCAAGAGCCTGTGATTTAGATTGTTTGAACAATCCAAAGTCTTATTTTATGTTCAGGTGGTGGCAGCGAGAACAGGGTGGGAAAATGCCTAGAAAAAGTCAATGGCAACAAAAGATCCTTCTGAGCACCTGCAAGAGGTAGAAAGGTAAATATTTACTGTTTACCTTTCTCTTCATTCAAGTTTAGACAATATTTGCTATTCTTCTCTCCAAGTCATTGTTTTCATTGCTTGCTCCTGTGAACCCTGAGAGCTATCACAGTAAATCACCTTGGAGATACTCCAGTGCATATTAAAAACAGAACAAGAAAGCCAGGCCTATTCTGACTGCACTCTGAAACCATGCAGTACATAGCACCTTGCATGCCCCTTCTTTGGAACTCTCCCCTTACCTTGTTGGATTTCTTGCTCGTGGCAGAACCAGGCCGGGTGTTACTGTTTAACTGTGAAGAACTGGAGCTGTCTTCATCTTCCTCATCTTCTTCCTCATCAAAATTCATGCTACTTGAAATGCCTGAGGAGAAAGCACCACACTTATATGAAATACTAATACATTAAAGCCTTCCATACTTGCTGTAAAACATCACTTATCATGCTGCTGCACCCTTAGGCTCACAGGTGAGTGAGGGTGTGTTTGAGGGAGGTTCACTGTGCGAGGCAGTGGCATCTGCCCTGAGAAGCCAAAACATTCCAGTAAAAGAGAAAGGAAACATCAGGGTTTCCATTTCACAGAGAAGACCAAGCTACGCAGTGATAGAGGAGCAAACACCCAGTTAGGAATTAAATTCAGATCATCTTCACCCAATTGAGTACTTCAAACACAACACAAAATCTTAAACCTGAAATTGGAGCTGAGAGGACAACCTGCCAGAGCCACTTGGAGACCTTAATAATTAAAATATAAACCCTTTTACAGCACACTTTCAACAGCTCCTATGAAATCTGCTGAAGAGTAGATCTTAGACTGAGAAGAAATATTCACATGAAGGAAATGTTCTCATGCATCTTCATTTCATGTAAAGAATAGTATCAGCCCAGGCCAACGGAACTGCCTTACAGCACTTGAAAATTTGACTTTACAAAAATTCAAATCCTCAGACATTTCAAAGGGAAACACAACTTTGAACATCAAATAGGTCTTAGCAGCAAAAACCATCAATGGTGGGACATTTGCCGGGCCTGGTTGTTCAAGGAATATCATGCAGATGAAGCTATCTCAGATTCAAGTTTAAACTCTTTAAGTTCCACACATTAGAGGCTATATTTAATCCTTATAAAAAAAACCCAAAAAACAAAAAAACTCCACTTGGTCCAGAATTCCCATTATTGGTAAGTCCAATGCAGAAGGATAAATGAAATGCAGACTTCCAGAGCCAAGCAGCATGGGCATAACTAACTTTTTCCTTCTGTACTTACCAGGAACATGATCCAGGGCGACAAGACTGGATTGGGAGGTGGAAGAGGACCAGGATGGATTTGCATGGGGATCTGGGAAAGGAAAAAATCCAAGGGTTTGATTCTGCAAACCCTTAATTGAGTGAACAAGCGTAACTTGGCAAGAGGACTCTGCAAAGGGCTAAAGGCTTATGGGATGGGGCCATAATGCTGCCACTTGAATTTGCAATTATGGACATTTTATCTTTCTGCACTGCACAATCAAATTCACCTTCTGCCTGCTTATCCCTCCTGTCATCTTCTTTTTTAGTACCTTGAATAAAGTCAAAAAACCCTGAATCACAGAGCTGAAGCTTCAGAAAACCTCATCCACACTGAACAGCTGTGCCACAAACCCTCCTGCGCGTGATACAGCACTGCATGGTAGGGGCTCGGCCTACTTTTGAATTCTAACAAAAAAACCAAACACCTCAAACCTGATTGAATAGGTGATACACACAGATTCTACACAAATATTCATTTGGAAACACTGAAAGAAGTATTCAGAGTCATAATCAGACAGCCTAAATTCTACCTCAATCCCTGTGCCTAGTGTGTCCACATCATTGAAAGATGAAATCAGGCTCTCTGAACTGTTTTTCTGGGAGTTCCAGGGATATGCATAAAGATTTTCACGTAGCTTAGTCTTTTGGAACACAAACTTGGTCTGCAACAAGCAGAGACTGAACCAAACCAATGTACAGAAATATAAACAGTAGATATAGACTAAATAACTGCTTACTTCAGTTCACATTTTGATGCCAGATGCATACTGGATAGTGAAACACCACCAGAACAGTAAGAGTGAGTGTATAAAAGTAAAGCAGAAGCGTATGCAACGCTTGCATTCCGTTCAGCTGCATCATGAAAGGTCTCATTATCCACTTCTTCAGTTCCCCCAGAAGGGACATACACCGCAGAGCACGACAGCAAAAAGTTTCAATAGGATCTGGTTATGCAAGGGAGGCCTGAGTTCACAGGTCAACAGATATTTTCAAAGCCTGTAGAACTCACTCATTATTAATCACACGGTCATTAATCACAAGCATTATTTCTTAATAATGGCAACCATGTTCTAGGCTCTATGCATGGCTAATAGAGACAGTCCATCTCCTCAGCTGGCAGCTGTGCAATAAAGCCATACTTCATATCCACAGACGTAATCAGTTTATTTCTACACCTGTGCCCACTATTTCACCACCAATATTTTAGCAGTGAAAATTCTGTGCCAGCCTTAGAAAAGTCTGCCCTCATGACCTGTGGGGAAGAATGCTTCAGAGAGCTCCTGTTTTGGTTTTGAATCCAGAAATCAAGTCTATTCCTCTCCAAATCTCAAAACGGTTGTAACTTCAGGTGTCAAAGAAGAACTAAGATTAAATTGCTCATTCCATGTCTCTACAGAGACATATTGCAAACTGATAAATGTGAGGCCTACATGCTAGTTATTCAGTGCTAAAACTTACGGAAGTCTGGCTCTGTCCTAGTGACTCATTTGCCAGGGAGGAACTCTACAGATTAACACTTTGGAAATCAAAAGGGCGAATATTTCCTGAAGGAAGAAAATTATTCTAGTATGGCAATTTCCAACAGATGGAGAAATCAAATAAAGCATTTGGCATTTTCTTGCAAGTGGCTTATTCTTTTCACACTCAGTAGCCTATAACCTCTTGTCTCGTATCACAACTTGACTCACTGGGGAAGCAGAAATGTGCTAAGAGAAGTTTCTCTCCACCAAGTTAGTGCCAAAGAGCAGAACAGGCATAAACCAGGGCTACGCAAATCTGATTGGACTCAGCCTTTCCCATTAGGCTGGTTAGCATTTCATAGAATCATAGAATATGCTGACTTGGAAGGGACCCATCAGGAACATCGAGTCCAGTTCCTGGTCCTCTGCAGGACACCCCAAGAATCACACCATGTGCTTGAGAGCACTGTCCAAACGCTTCTTGAACTCAGACAGGCTTGTTGCTGTGACCACTTCCCTGGGGAGCCTATTCCAGTGCCCAGCCACTCTGGTTGAAAAACTTTCTCCTGATACCCAGCCTAAACCTCCCCTGACTCAGCTTCATGCCATTCCCCCATGTTTTGTCACTGGTCATGTGAGTGAAGAGATCGGCACCTGCCCCTCCTCTTCCCCTCATGAGGATCTTGAAGACCTCAGTGAGGTCTCCCCTCAGTCTCCTCTTCCTCAGGCCAAACAGACCAAGTGACCTCAGCCCCTCCTCATACGGCTTCTCCTTCAGATGCTCTCTAATAGCTAAATGTCTTTTTTCTATTGTGATGCCCAAAACTGCCACACTATTCAAAATGAGGCCACCCTAGTGCAGAGCAGAGCGGGACAATTCCTTCCTTCGACTGACTGGTGATGCTTTGCCTGATGCCCCCCAGGACAGGGTTGGCCCTCCCGGCTGCCAGGGCACTGCTGACTCAGATTCAACTTGCCATCAACCAGGACTGGATCCCTTTCTACTTCATCTCTGTGTTCTTCTCCTTTTGGTCTCATTCCATGCAAGAGAAAGACTTATGGGAGACAGCAATTCTAAATGCTTTTCAGACCAGTGGTGACATGCCAGTAAGGACATGCCACAAGCAGTGAAATGGCAGTAGGAATCCACATGAAGAGCCTTACTGACATGTAAAGTGTCACATCAATACCGGGATACACAAAACTTTCTAACAAGCTTCCTCTGCTGGTATCAAGCAGCAAACCATACACACATAGTCAAAATATTTTACTGAGATGCTGCTAGCATTGTCTTAATACCTTTCTTTGTGTCTCACCCAGTATAGGTCTGCTGTTAATAAAAACGAATAAACTTTAGCATTCCCATTTTAAAAAAGTGCCCCCCCTCCCAACTTGAAGCATAGTAGTGATTCACTTTTAGCAGTGCCTGTTCTGATCAGGAGTATACTCAGACCCAGTAAAAAAGGTCACATCATGTATTTGAGAATACAAAGAAACAAAGCAAAACAAAAAAATTCCACTCACTGCTTCTATTAAAAATAAACAAAAATTTGGGCAGAATAAAAATATATGTTAACCTGGAAAAACCCATCAAAACTAGAAGTGTCCCCCAGAGTAAAAATCTGAAGACTGTGACCTAATTTGAGAAGTCTGTGGGTAGTTTTTAAGTCAATCAGCTTTAGTTAGTAGTGTGCCTCACGATTAAATATTCTGAGCCATGGTCTAAGGCAATACAATCACCACACAGATCAGAACTTGTTAGTCATGCCCAACACCCCTGCAACTCAAATGCCCAGGAAATAGCGCACTTGGAGAAAATCTGCCCATTTCAGTTGAAGCTGCTCACATCTGCAGGGTAACGTCCCAGAAAAAATGAATCCTAGTGAGAACTGCTCTGCAGACAAGAGGCGGCATTTAGGTATGAATAGTCTATTCTACACGAGTCAAGTTTGCACTTACATTTTGCTCTTTATACACAAAGAGTTTGTTCTTAAAGCATCAGAGCGCTCTTGGCTTGAGCCATCTTTGCTTCAATAGCTGTACACTGAAGAAGAACAACTCCAAAGCAAATGTCTTCAGAAAAAGCTTTGTGAGGATTTCAGGATTTTTTTTTTCCTTCCTACAGTTACTGTCTAACGAGAGATAACAACAGTGCAGGAAGGAAGAGACAGACGCATGAATGTGTACATACACAATCTATCTCCAAAGCATACATGCCTCTAGGAAAAAAAAATATTCCAGAACATTTGAGGACTCTGTGTGGGAAATGCTGCAGAATACACAGTGCTGTACTTTTCACCTCTGCAATTATGAAAACATGAACAACATGTAACTGACAGTACAACTAAAATGAATATTCTAGTTTGAACGCTGCTATTCCCTGCTCTTTTTTTAGCCATCAAATAAGTGATTCCCAGAGTTGTACAATATAAAAATGAGAACAGATGGATGTGAACATTAGCATCTGCCAGGTACCTCAATAGCACTGCACTGCAGATGGGGAAGTCACATCCCTGAGAGCCTGCAGAGCTCTTGTTCCTTGGGACAGTAGAGACTTTCATTATCTTTTTTTTTTTTTTTTTAGGTTTGGTTTTGGTTGGGTTTTTTTTAGATAATAGAATAGAGCCTAACAGGCTCTGAGGAGAAGAAATACAGGCTAACAAACTCTGCTTAGACTAGGGCTGAGAGTGAGAATATGAAAAGGAGTCAATGTACCTCAAGCAAGCAGTGAGAACATGAAGGAAGCTTTGGTTACTTACCTTTTTTCTGCATTGCTGTTCTAAGATCTTGTTTGCTTTGCTGTTGTTGACCACTAGCCACTTTCTCTCCATCATCTTCATCGTGGCTGGACTGTCCAACAGTGAGAATCTGCACTTGACTTCCTATCTTCTGAACATCATCTTGAAAAGCAGCTGGGCCATCAATCCCTGTCAGACAGCAGCAAAAGCCTTAGTTGTCTTTCTGTTAAGAAGGTACTGAAAAGAGAATTGCTCACTCGCAAAAAAGCATCTTTTATAGGAATCAGAGATTGGATGTAACCATACAATAATACTTCCAGACTTAAACATGATTAAACTAGCCTCCAAGGCAAACATTTTATTTCCTACATGCTACACTAGAGAATCTCCAGAAGAGGATTAGGATTTCACTGTTGCTCTCCTCACTCCAAAGCACACCTATCCATGCACCAGAAACACTGAAAACTAAACAGAAAAGAAATCATTGGAGAGAACTGACAAAGAAAACATAAAACTTTCATAAGGACACACAACTGGTCCAGAAACACATGAACCCAAGTCCCAGATTAAGCCATATCCCCTAATAAACAACACTCCTATCATGAAACAATGCTTCCAAAGTTTCAAAATGCTGGAAAATTCACAAATAGTTCTAGCAGTGTATACAAGACAGGGGCAGCCAGTCTTGTCTAAGCCTAAATACACCTTTTGGGTTAGTAAATTGCCATCCAGTTAATACACCAGAGCAAAACTATAAACAAGATATTACATATTCCCTGGAACCTCCATCCTCTGAGAAGCTTAAATCCTGAACAGGCTCAGTCCTGAGCAATCTGCTGTGAGCAGGGACATGGGACTGGACAGTCCCCAGAGGTATCTTCTAGCCTCAGTCATGCTGTGATCCTGTGGCTTCTCACCTCAGCCAGACAGAATCTATTTACCTCCTTACAGCTGTAAATCACCTCTGAAGACAGAAAAAGAAAACACAAGGTGGGGTATGTTCTTATCACGAGCTAACTTTTTTTTTCCCTTCAGGACAACAAGTTAAAACATTGGATTGCAAATGTACTTCAGATCTTAGTTAAGATGTAGTGCTGGAATATGTTACTAAATTAGCTATATAAAAACGCACTTTTGCATTTGATGAAAATTGTAATATTATTATGTACAAATATAGTGAATACCATAAGCTGTATACTGTTGCTGTTGAGGAATTTTTGTTAATAAGCAAGCAACATTGTAGAGAATTTATAAGCACTATAAAGAGTTAGTTCAGTAAAGATATGGTGCTTCTCACATCAAAAAAAGCTGAATAAATCCTGTGAGAAGGAGCTGCAGGGATTGGGATTCTTTTCGGACTGCGATCTGCAGCAGAAGTCTCCAAGAATACCATTTCATCCTGCTTTGCCAGCAGCTGTCAACTTGCATTAGAAGACAACTGGATTATACATTTAGCATGGTTAACTGTACTTTGCAATATCTGCTGTCACTGCCACTGCGATACAAAGCATAACTGGAAAAGAATGAGGTCCACACCCTCAGGAACAGCATCGGTTGTGCAACTACCTAACAAGATGCAGCCCAACACTGCAGAAGTGTTAAACTGACAGAGTTCAAGACCACAAGGAATTATTGATTCATCTCCATCACACAGACCCTGGGAATTCCTGCACCAACCCTGCAAATTCTGATTTACTTACAGCAAAGCCAACAACAATTAACAACAAATAAATAATCTGTCCATACAGCCTTGAAGGATGAAATAAAGTCCAAGGAAATGTCTCTGTGACCTTGCTAGGATGAAAATTTCAGAAGCAGCTCTGCATGATGCAGAATGAACAGTATCATTTCCTATGCCTTACATATATTATGGCAGTGAAGAGCATAGCACTTTTCTTAGAAGTTATCTCAGGATAAGCACTCCTGCAAAAGTGCTCTAGAACAGAAAGGCAGGTGCTCAGATCCTCTGTGGTATTTTTAACAGCTTCAACTATATTTACCGTTATCATTAAAGTGGCTACCTGTAGTTAGGTTCTTACCTTAATAATCAGAATTTTAAAAGTGTTAAGCATCCGTGAGTTTAACAAGATGCCTCATGAATATCTATCTAGCCCCTTATTTAGCCTTGGATGACACAAACCTAATTTTGAGAACCCTTTTCAGAAGGAACAAAACACCTTAATTATTCCTCTTCAAAGCAGACATTGATCTGCAGCAAATAAAATGCCTTCGACAGCACTAGAGATTGCACTGAGGCTGCTTTTTTTCAGATGCCTGCAGAACATCTGCACTCACATCCCATGCTGTCAGGAACATCGTGTATTATTAGGCCTTAGGACAAAGGCTACACTGGCAGGTCACACTTTTAGAGAAGAAAAATCAATTTCAGTATTCTGAAGAGTGCATCACTGGTAGAGTGTGTTATTAAACTTTATGAATGGTTCCACTGGGGAGCACATTTAATGGGATGAAATATGTAGCCAGACAGAGAGGATTAAAAAAAAAAAAAAAGAAAAAAGAAAAGAACTTTTTTGCATGAGAACACCGTAGATGGTTCATGGCAAATGTAGCATTAACTATTTAATACTTGTGTGTGTGCATACATCTTTGCACACACACATCTTTGTAGCTATACGTGCACGTGTTAAACAGTATTAAATAAAAGCATACATTTTTCTATATCATGAGATATAAGCTCATCTTCCTAAGTCATAGTTCAAAAGGCAGCTTTACCATCACTTACCTAATGTCTGAAAACAGTTCCAAGTTTCCATAATGATAATCAAGGTGGATCTCTCAAGGTGTTCTCACTTTCTTTGACTCACTGACTCATTTTCACCCACTTACCAGAAGGATGCTCCTCTGTGCAGTAAAACAAACTAGTTTTCTATAGTTATAAGTTCCCTGACTTTAAGAACATAGTCAAAAGAGGCAAAGAAGCTGAGTGGGTTGTGCCAAAAAAGAAAGTAATTATTGCTATGGTCAGCATTTTTTACAGTGTTTCTCAAAAATCAGGTAGGAAAAAAACCTGATGGAGATGTCCTTGAATACCTACTAAGAAGTAAAGGGAATTACTGAGAAGTAACTGTGAAAGAGGGTAGGGAGGAAAGCAGAAGATTAAAACAGCCCTGAGAGTACCAGTCCCTTCAGTAAAGGCCTTCTCGTACACTTTGACATGGTCACGTCTCAGAAGAAAACCAGAGGTACCAGAAATGAAAACAAAGCAATACTGAAAAAAAAAGCATCAGTAAATGAGTATTACTGGCATTTACATCCTATAAACACTATTTATCAATTGCCTGTACTCTCTTAGCGCCTAAAAAGTTCTAGACAATATTTATAAATAGGTAGTATCAATCTCTTAAGAGCTGGTAATCTAAACTACAACATAGAATGTTTTTATAAACTGAATTCACCTAAATTCTAAGAAATTCAAAACACATTAGGTAGACATGCACTTAACTTGGATCTCAGGTATGGGATATTTAGATAGGATTTTTTTTCTTTTGTTTTAAACACATAAAATGTTAACTACCTACACCAAAAAAAAAAAATCACAAGATCCAGGTCTGGAATGAGAGGAGAGAGAAAAAAGGTATGGGAAAAATAAATACAAGAACTGCCATTGAAAACCTTGGGAAAGAAATAAAGTAGCAAAATTTTGCTTAGTGTTCATGATGTATGAGAAACAAATCTAAGTTTTCATGCATTTTATTGTACCACATTATGCCTGTTTGAAACTTCAGCTTCCAAAGCATGGACCAACAAACCAAAATCCATTCGGTTTCAGTGGACTTTGTAAAGACAATACATTCTGAGGAAATGAAGCTAAGACCTTATTTAATTGTTCCAATCCAGCAGTTAAAGGAAATCTTTTTATGGGAGGGTCACCAGGCATACATTTCTCTATCCTATATCCACAGCAGCACCTTGCTGAACAGTTTACAATCATTTTGATATGTCCCATAGATAAACGTTAAAATTAATATAGATGAGCCATCAGAGTTCTACTAGATGTAGTTATCCAATTTCATCTGACAAATTGAGCAAGTATAGACCACACGGGATGGAGGCCATAGATCCTGGAGTATATCCCTTCTCCTTGGCCCTACAGATCTAGAAGTCATTAAAATAGCATATTAGCACTAGTAAAGCACTACAAGTACAGTTCTGGGTATTCATTTGAGCCTCATGCATTTTTATGCCAGATTCACTGTCTTCAAAGTTATTTTTCAGAAAAGAAATACACTTCCTAAGCCTATGTGCAAGTCAAAAACCAAGGGTATAGTCACACTGAACACAAAGCTTGGATCAGTCCACTGAGAAGTCCTTTCTAAACCCAGAATCTGTAACAGAATGGGTCTGAGTGGAATTCCCTCTCAAATCAGACAGAAATTGAGCATTTCTAGACATCTCATCAGTGAAATTCCCAAAGTCATCACAGTCTAATGACACTGCAATATTACAGAAGAATAAGAAAATGTAAGAGGACAGGCCAGAAACACAATTTTGATTATTTCATTGCTCAAAAGATAATTAAGAAACAGTACTTAAAATTTTTAGGGGGTCGAGGAGTAGGCGGAAAGAGTCAAATGGGAGAAAATTACTACAAATAACCGAGCAATGTATGAGCTTGGAGATGTATGCCTTCAGAGAGGCAGCTGATATGTGTGGCCATGACTTAGAGATAAGCATGAGATCAAGCACAAGGAAAGATTTTGCTATCTGACAATAGTGCACAGTGCACAATGGTAGTCTTGGAAAACTTGTTACAGGTGAAATATGTGACAACCTACCCAGCAAGAAACCACAGGTGCAAGCATAGGGAGCCAGCTCTCCAAAACATTATTAAAATATTCAGCTATATACTGCATGAATCCCCAGAAACTGGATCTTTCAGGAAAAGAATCTAATTGTATATTTATAAACATCATGTTCCTCTCTGCATGTATTTATACATGCAAACATTTTGCTGTGAAAATATTTTCAGCAAATGTTATTTCCTCTAGGTACTTTTACATGAACTTATAAATCCAGGAAAGAATGATTAACTGATTATTAAGAGAGCCTTAGGACCCCATGAAAATATAGATTTCTAATTTATTTGAAAACAACTCCTTTAATAAATTAAGAATTTCTTTATAGGATATTTGCAAACTAAGAAAGAAAATACAAAGAAAAGTATGGTA